GCAGAAGGTCTTTCTGCTGTTGTGGCAATGAATGGACACTCAACAATTGAAAAGATTCCTTCCATGCCTTAGAAGCGTGACTTGATCAGTACTTATCTACACAGCATACTGGCATCATAGATCCTGTTTCTCATATCGAATCCCTAGTCTTCCACACTTTAGGAAACGTAAACATTCAGGACGTGCCATTAGCACAGCCTGCACTAAAAGGTGGCTGGAGATTACGAATGGCAACACAGAGTGCAAATCCAATACCACCTTGAAAAACCTGCCGTGATCCCGATTCGAACCGGGGTTACTGTGGCTACAACACAGAGTAATAACCACTATACGATCACAGCGAGCTACGGGACAGCCACTGTGGCTCTTGTGTGGTATGTTCCTCCATGTGATATGCCCCTCTCTCTTCAGTGAGAACACACTGTTGTCTTTCTCCTCCTACCAGCACAACGCTTTTCCCAAGAAACAATGGAAATGCAAACAATTGATGACTGCTGCAATTTTAAAAAGGAACAGGATGTGGGTATAGTTGGCAGAACTTGAACCTGCGGGAGAATACCCCAACGGATTTCTAGTCGATCGCCTTAACCACTTAGCCATGACTACAAGACTGCCTGTTCTCCCATGTCCTCATGCCTAGTACACGTGTTGTGCATTCAGATGAAACTTTCAGCAAGCGATAGCTCAACGGCAAAAGCTGTGGCTCCACAAAGAGTCTCTCATGCCCGAACACGGACTTGAACCCTGGACCCTCTACCGACTCTGCTAAAGCTGGGGAACAATAGTCTGTTTTGGAAGGGGAAGAAAAAAGCACAAGAAAAATAAGAAAATTTGAGAAATTGAGAAAGAAAGAAGCGAAATTAAGGTTATATTTTGTATTTTTGCCCACCAGAAACTACTCAATGCATATATAACAGTACTGGTTCAAGAAATATGTCCATAAATAACACTTTGGGTAGATCACAAGGTTCAATCCCCGACTGGAGCAGGTATCTAACCAGGTTTAGTAATGGGTCGATCATGAACATTTCGTTCATTTTAAACGAATCTTCAATATGATTTGGGAACTAACTGGTTGACCTGGAGCGGATTAATTCGCTTCGGTCAAAAACAGGGGACTGAAGGAGTTGCAGTTCTACCTTTAAATTCATCTCAACAAATCAACGTTAATCCTTTTTCTCAACATCCTGTTTCTCATCACTTTTTATTAAATATAATTATTTAATTACTTTTATTAAATTTAATTATTAATTATAGAACTTTGAATTGATTTAACTAATGTATAAATTCACGCTTCTTAATGTAAGAATGTTCAGTGTACTTGTTTCTCTTTTTGCCTGTCTTTTTAAAATTTGTTTTCAGGAGACACACAAAAAACAGGTCATAGGTCATGGAGATCTCTCTCTCCCTCTGTCCCAGAGGAGAAGAAAATCACCTGTTCTAGTTGTCCAAATGTGGCAGGGGGGACAAGAAATTTAATTAAACACCTTAAACGACAACGTCACCCGGTTAAGCCGGGAATAATAATTATTATTATTATATTTAACAGGCACCTATAGGTTCGTAGCCAAAGTAGGGTGAGCATGGAGACGTAAAATCAGAAAAAAAGCACTTTATTGAAATACAAAAGTTAAAATAATTAAAAATTCTTTTTAACATGAGCCTATTACAAAACAACAACAAAAAAGACAACAATAATCCAAAACAATAGAGTGGGGTACCAGCGGAAGTTTGCAAGTGTCCACAACACCAAGGAATACAAACACACACGCACACACACAGCCCCTATGAAAACACAGCAAACTTATTTTACACAGCAATATCTGTTTAGCACAGCACTCGGTGTATATATACACCCACACACTAATACAATGCACCCAAGCTGGGTCTCCCCCACCCCCCTATAACCAAATAGGTTTCAAAGAAAATACACAGAAGACAGTTACAAAACAAAGAGAAACTATTAAAGAAAAATATGAAAATCACAACCAAAAAGTAACAATTTAGAATAGACCTGAACAGAAAGGGAAAATTTGCAAAAATCACTCGAATGCATAACAAAAACAAAAATCACAATACAAATATAACAATTCAAACAAAAACTATAAAAATCATAATATACAAAAGAAACAAAAATCACAAAATAAAGCTCCGGCAAAACAGCAGCGCTGCCACCACAGTTGTCAGACTTGGTCACCAGTCATTATAGAAACCCTTGTGCACACAGTCACCTGTTGTCACAAAGCCACGATTTACAATTAAAAAAAAAATTTAAACAAACAAATGCTCTGCCATACATACCGTACAGATGTTAGAACATGGCCTCACTCTGCAAACATAGGAAGTTATTGGTAACCACTAAATCGGACGCCACCAACGCACAAAGCACACATCAAAGCGCCAGGAACCAGAGCAGGCAGAAAGCACGCCGAACGAACAGCGTCTGGTGCAGAGCAGCTGAGGACCAAACCAGTCAATCCTGGCAACACTTATGGTACAGTTACTACCCAAATATACGGAAGTGTACACAAACCGTTACTTTCAACCGGAAGGGTTTACCCATCAGAAAAAAAGACGGCAACACTGATGACACATACAGAGTTACCAAATGTGCTCAACTTTTAGCTTTTCACTGGTCGGAGATCAGCTCATAAAAACTTAGGGTCGACCTAACCCCCAGAAATCATGTCGCCATCCATATCTGAAGTTAGATACAATTCTTTCTTAACGCACGCATTGAGGCCATCCATATCTGGAGCTAGATACAATACTTCATAGACGCACACATTTAAAATTTTATTATTATTATTTTTTGATGCAACCAATGAGAAATGTTTACCTGGATCCCACCTTTTCTGGACTTGTGTAGAGTATAATTATTGCATTGTTGTACTGTAAGTCAGAGCGGCCTAGGAACTCATTGCGAGTGTTGAAGCTGGCTTCTGCTGTTGAAACTGCAAACTATCTTCAGTAAACTTCATTTATTTATTTGAATCTCTGACTCCAGCTCTTCTTCATCTGACAAACTGGTCATTCTTTGGGTTAAACTGTATACCATCTCTACCGTAGTAAACTAGAACCTAAAAGTAAAGAAACTTTACTAATAAAAGATGCAACAGGACAACTGAATGGGCTTTCTAAAACTTTCTAAACTTGAGGCCCTGGTATTATGCAAACTAACTGTCCTGGAGCTCCACCTTATTTGATGTGCAGTGTTTTCCCAGTGATTTGTTTCTCATTCAGGGAGTCAGACAGAGAACATCATCCAAAACAAAACTAGCTACATGAATACACAGGAGAGTGAGAGAAACGCGACACATTTACAACCCCAGTGTAGGAGTGTTGGAAAACAGTATACCGTCCCTCAGCCTTTTTAAACATTATTCAGACATGAAAAATCCTGTGCACATGAGAAAATGTTTTGCTGCATTCATGTCATGTGCGCAACTTTTTGTCCATGTGGTTCTTAATCTGAACGGTTTCTCTCCAGTGTGAATCCTCTTCTGTTTTCAGATGTGTTAACTGATTAAACCTCTTGTCACAGTGCAGTTCTGGTGCAGCTTAAATTTTGGAGCTGTTAGAAAAGTCTTCTCACACTCAAGCACATATACTCTTTCACACCAGTGTGAATCTTCATGTGTTCATTAAGGTTTTCTGATCGGTTGAAACTTTTCACACTGAGTGCTTGTGAATGGTTTCTCTCCAGTGTAGGTCTTTATGTGTTTATTAAAGATTCAGGACACCCTGGAGAACTTTTTTTTTTTATATTAACAGATTTGTGTGTGTTGAGCATCAGTTAAGACAATGTTAGCACCTGTCAGCTTTAATTGTGGGGAAAACTGGATAATTTTGAGCTTTTGTCAGCTAATTTCAGCTTCCGGGTTTAAAATGATTTTTGGGGCGGGATCAAAATCGGCGACGTAGCGCAGAACTGCAAGTGCAATGATGACGCGTCAGTTTCTCATTATTTTTCATGGCGTAGATTTCTTATCCTATGAGAAGAGCCGGCTGCTTAATTATTCATGAGAGCACGTGCTTTCCGAAGGCAGACCTGCCAGTTTCAAGCAAGCTGTGAGTGAGACACAGACCAACGGCACGCAGTAGCCGTTCATGAAGGCTCGTATGTGTTTGTTTCCATGATCCACGGGGTTTCTTGCATGTTTTTTTCACCAAGATCCTGTCAGGGCCGATCATACAGCAAAGCTGTGTGTGCTGCAAGCATGTTTGTCGGGAGAGCAGTGCGAGAATTGAAGAATGGCGGACGTTGACTTTTATCAGGAGTTCGTTCACATTCAGACACATCACCGTGCTGCTGTGTTTGCCTAAATCCTCTATATTACCAGCAGGGCTAATGGTTAAAATAGACAGGTCAGGAGACCTGCTGCACTGAGTCTGCATTTAAGATCTATAATTTAGACCTGGGGATCAAGGTAGAATTCTCATTTATAGTATTTATATGAACACGATTGTCTTTATAATGATATAAATTGTGGTTTTGTGTAAATGAAATTACGAATAACAAATGTAGCAGGGCATTAAATTACTGTTTATTTCTTTGCATTTTAACTTTGTGAACTATAAACTCATGCGTCTCCTCACGGTTTGTGTCTTAGTTTGTGAGCTAACTGACATCAACAGTTGTTCGCTCCCCTTCTCCCCTGCTGGCCACGCCCACTCCTGCCCGATGCTCGTGGAGCTCTGCGCCCTTTAATCATGCATCTTTTAAAAAAAATTCTGAAGTAGACTTTAACCGAAAGTGGGGGGTGTCATGGCCCTTTAAGGTCTGAGTAGTTGCTGAAACTCATCCCACACCGAAGCTGCAGTCACACTAGAGTTTAAGCATGCAAAATTCTGTTTTTTGGTTTCTCTCTAGTGTGGATCCTCATGTGTTTATTAAGATGTGATGATTGGCTGAAACTCTTCCCACACTGAGGGCATGTGAATGGTTTCACTCCAGTGTGGATCATCATGTGATGATTAAGGTGTGATGAGCAGCTGAAACTCTTCCCACACTGAGGGCAACTGAATGGTTTCTCTCCAGTGTGGATCCTCATGTGTTTATTAAGGTTTGATGATAGGCTGAAACTCTTACCACACTGAGTACATGTGAATGGTTTCTCTCCAGTGTGGATCCTCATGTGTAGATTAAGGGATGATGATTGGCTGAAACTCTTCCCACACTGGGTGCATGTGAATGGTTTCTCTCCAGTGTGGATCCTCACGTGTTTATTAAGGTTTGATGATTGGCTGAAACTCTTCCCACACTGAGTGCATGTGAATGGTTTCTCTCCAGTGTGGGTCATCATGTGTTTATTAAGGTGTGATGATTGGTTGAAACTCTTCCCACACTGAGTGCATGTGAATGGTTTCTCTCCAGTGTGGATCATCATGTGAATCTTAAGTTTGCTTTTGGTTGCAAAACTCTTTCCACACTGAGTGCAGGTGAAACAATTCTTGTCTCTCCTTTTCAAAATACCATCAGTCTGTAAATTAGTGTTTTCCTCAATTTTGACATGATGTTCCTCCTCTTTACTCCCCTCATTCTCTTCAATTAGGTCTGAAATATATATATATAAAAAACATTAGTTTTCATTAAGCCTTAAAAACTCTCATCAAAAGCTGAAAAGTGAAAAGACACTGGAAACATTGGATTCACACACTGTAATTTTGGATGCACATTAAATGTAAAATAAATCAGATAATATTTTGTTAGGTGCATTCATGTGTACACATTTAAACAGATTTAATTCAATTCATCTTCATTTATCTAGTGCTATTACAATGTAAAATGTGTCAAAGCCACTTAACAGAATTTATTGTAAATTGAAACTGTCAGTCCAGTTTTCAGAGTTTCTTACGTAATCGATCATAAGTAATATTGGTCATATTGAAAAAAAAGATTTGAAAGCTGTAAATGGCCTGTTTTTATTCGTATTTATTCATAATTACAACAAAATGTTTTTCTAAAATGTGTAAAGCAGACGAGGGCTCAAAATTAACCTTTTTGACTGGTAGCACCAATGCTCCTAATTAAAAAAATATAGGCGCATCAACCAAAATTTTGTCGCACCCACCAATTATAAGCACCGTTACAACAAGTTTTATACAAAAAAGATTTATTTATCTGATCAAACATGATTTATTTGAAATCAACACTAATCAAACTAACAAGCAAAAATATTTAAGCATGCGTGATAAAAAATGTCTCAACGAAATCCCGGTATCACAAATAAATACGTTTTTATAACATAAATGATGGACCAAAAGATACACGGACCGTTCACCAGCCGGTCTTTCATGAGCAGCGATAATAGTTTACTCGGTGCAAGCCCGTTTGTGATGGTTTACTTGGTGTTAAATTTTACATTTAACTGCCACTTGCACGGCGGACAGCATCTGGCGATTATATGAAGGATTAAACAGAAGCTCTCGCGCTAGATGTGGCAAACAGTTAGCTGAAAATTGACTTTTCATAGCAGACTTGAAGCCAATGGAAGCCTTTATCTACTCTTCGAAAAGTGTAGATGGTGGAGTAACATTCAGCACATGATCACTACTAAGATGTGTCGTTATTTGTAACTTTAGATGCCATGGTGACATGGACAGTGCTTTACAATTTTTCGGGGTAGTAGCTCTCCATGTCATCCCAAGCCAGAAGGCGTTGAGTGATTGTGATTGACAGCTGATATTAACCAATCCATTTGCATTCAGTTCTAGAGCAGTGGGCCAATAATAAGAGGGCAAAGGCGGGGCAAGCATTACAAACTTGGCTTTGTTTACTGCAGCGAGTTGACATGACAACTGTTTTAAACCATTCCTGAGCGCTCCGTTTCAAGTGCAAACATGCATTCTGCGTGAATATCTCCCGAATCTGCGCATGTGCTGAACATTTTGCAGTAAAAACTGGTCACACACAACAATTTTTTGCACTCGCACAAATGCTCACAAACATTTTAAGGTCGCATAGAGAAAATTTTGGGCGCATATGCGACCAAAACGGTTGTAATTTCGAGCCCTGAAGACAGTGAATACTTGTTCATTTTGTGCCTGACTAGTAAGCGCATCAGAAAAAAGTTCTGGATTCACAGCTGAACAAACAGCTGAATATTTGCCTCGCAAACATGAGTCATACCTGTACAGCATCTACATAAAGGCTGGATTGTACACCTTTCCCTTGTGCGCTGTTGGGTCGTCTTCATCATTTCTGGGGTGATTTTGAGGCTTAATTTGACCAAAACATTCTCTGCGTTTCAGCAAACGGACTGATATTTGGGGACATCTTATTTTGACACATTCTGGGTAAATGCTTTGAAATAAAAAATAAAAAAAACTCAATACACTCTGGGCAAATTTACTCCATTTTCATTATATTCATGGCTGTTTTTTTTCTCCATTGGGCTCTATTGTAACAATTTTCTTTTGATTGCAAAGCCATGACAGCATATAATCATTCATTTATGATTGTTGGTGTTTTCTGTGACGACAGTCAACATTGTTTAATTGGTCTCCACTCATGGGATGGCAAAAAGGAAATGGGTGAGAGTATAAAGGAAGAGGAGGAATGTTTAATTGGGCAGCATTATATGGTGTGTGGAAGAAAGAAAAGTTGACTGAACTGTTCCAGCGCGGGGAAACGAGTAGAGAAACGGGGTCGAGACGAGCATTGTAAACTTAACGATTGGCTTTGAGAAACAAAAAGCGAAAGTATGTATTGAAGCAACAGAGCAAAGATTGCCGTCTTGTTACTGAAGTGCTCGTGACGTCTGTGAACGAGTGCGTCACCAAAGACTTCAGTGCAGTGTGTCCTGAAAAAAAACTTATCGATTTATCTCGCTGGCATGGAGTCAGCTGCCGAAAGCCTTCATCCCACAGTCGACAGTGTCAGAGTTTCCTGTTAGGCACCCGTGGCTGCCACTCACCGGCTGGGTTCGTCGATGCCCTCAATCTACACATCCACACCTCCACATACGCCATTCCCCTCTCATTTCCCTTTACCCCTCCGCTCAATGGGTAAGAACCAAGTTTTTGTTTTCTTTACCCAAATTCTTATATTATTTCTCTTGTTTTGTTTTCTCCCCGTACTATTACTATCATTATTACTTTTCCCTGTTTTCAAATCTGATGAATCTGCTGGCCTAAAATCATTTGCATTTTTACCTTTCACTTTCAGTTGAGTTATAAGTGCTGAGGGTTTTGCGTTTCATTATGATTATTTTTATATTGTTTGTTTTGGACTACCGGCCATGTAAAGACGCAAACTGTTGAGGTTCTCACGTGAAACTTAATTTTGTTCAATATTGCTCTTATCCTAAATTCTATTACCTTAAACATACCTGTACTGGAAAATAAGCGTTTAAGTGTCAGAGTCTAGCTGCTCTGAGCGTAATTCAACTTGAATCAGAATGAATAAAGGCTGAAGCAACCATTGAGAGGCGGAATCCGCTACTAGCCTCCATGCTAATGCTAACCCCGAAGTGCAAGCTGCATCTAAGAAAGAGATGGCGCGGGCGAGTGATAACAGTGCAGTACTTTAAGCTATTGATGCACTAAAGGCCAATTTGATTGCTAAAATTGAAGAAAAGGCCATTGCACAGTCAAATGAACTTTGCAATCAAATTGACCAGCTTCGGACAGTTACGCAATGCTGGAACACGTTCAAAGTCAAGTCAAAGTCAGCTTTATTGTCAATTCAGCCACATGTACAGGACATACAGAGAATTGAAATTACGTTACTCTCAGACCCTAGGTGCCTAACATATATTATTAATATAAAAAGTAGAGTTTTAAGAAAAAGAAAATCTAAATTTACAATATATACAAAATGTGGTCTAAAAATATATTTAATGTGTAGTCTAAAAATATACATACGGAATAAAAAATTGTAAACCAGAGTTGTGCTGATAAAGAACAGTATATAGTGCAAAAAGACTTGTGCACATGATGATTATGATAAAGTGACAGTTTCATAATATATGTGAATGTAGTATGATGTGTCTAACTGGTAGACCAATGTTACATAAAATTACATAAAGTGCAGATGAATGTGTGCATGTGTGTGTGTTTTCATGTGTGTCAGAGTCCAAATGTGCGTGTGGAGGGAGAGGGGAGTGGTGGCAGAGTTGGGAGAGGGTTCAGCTTCCTGACAGCCTGATGGATGAAGCTGTCTTTCAGCTAGACAGCTAATCTTGCTTCTGTAGTTTTTCCTCATCGTTTTTGTTGATGAGACCCACCACAGTTTCAGTCAGAGTCTGTTTTGTCCAGATGTGTGAGCGCTGAGTGAAGTGCAGTGGAGATGGCGTCATCAGTCGAGTGGTAGGACCAATATGTAAACTGAAAAGGGTCCAAGGAAGGGGGCAAGACAGACTTAATGTGCTGCATCACAAACTGTAAGCTCCTCTCGGTGTGGTGTAAACAAAGCCCAGGTACAGGTCTTTCAGTGCCTCTCTCATGTTGTTGGGATTGGAGCTGGGAGGGATGTAAACGGAGAAAAGCAGTATGGCTGTTTATTCCCTCTGTAGATAAAACGGCCGGCACTTTAAAACCATAAACTTCACCAGTGGCAAGCAGTTTTTGCAGACTACAATGGTATCATGGCCAGAACCGAAATGTCTAGAACGTAGTCACTGAGCCAAGTTTCCGTAAACACAAATGCACAACAGTTCTTTACAGTCTTTTAAGATGAACGAAGTAGACGGCTATAGTCCAGTTTGTTGTCTAGCGAACGTACGCTCGCTGGAGGAGGGGATGATGGAGGGGATAGCAGGTTTGTGTGGGTTAGCCGCTAGCCTAGTTCAGATCCCCCCACGCTTGCCCCTCTTCTGTTTTCTCTTGCCTCTATTGTGGGCGAGGTGTTGAGGTGGGGGTCGGAGGATGAGTAGGCCTCTGGAGCAAACGGAGATCTTGCAGCTCCTCAGTGTCTGCGGAGTTTAACTTGTAAAGTTTGGTTCTGCCGATGTCGAGCAAAAATTTTAGACTATATGTGCGCTTAAGCACAGATAAACGGGGCGAGGACGTACATAACAAAGAACACAAAAACAATGTCTTGTCGGGAAAGAGAGAAGCCACAGCGTGTGCACGTACCTCCATCTTGAAAAAAGCAAGAAAGGAACTGGAAGAGTGGTTAACGCCAGAGTGGAAGCAGCAAAAGAGCGAGTGACTGGTCTGGAGCCTGTGTTGGGTGGATACTCCAGCTCTTTTACTACCCTGGAAAAAGAGTTTAGTATTGTGAAAAAAGAGGCTGGCTCTGCTGAGACCAAAGCCAAGATCTTGAGGAAAGGTCTACCCGCTCAAATCAATCTCTATGCAACAAACCAGTGGACGACAAGGAACCGTCACGCGCCTTCGTGATTAAATCCCACAACTTTTCCGAAAAAGAGAATATTTTGAAGAAAGCCATTGAAATGAATGCAATCACGACAGTACACTGAGCTGTCAAAGACAATACAAATGTTAATGTCACTCTCCGGTTAACTTTTAAATAACCACTATAGCACATGTTCGTTGTTATTTCTAGCTCTCGGAAGTATGTTTTGTCAATAATGGTGTAGCTTCGTAGTAAAACATTAAAAGCTGTTTAAATGGTTTTGTTTTATGCGTGAGATCCCACATGGTCAGCTAGTTAAGAGTGGGAGTAGCTAGAAGTGTGTGCAAGTTTACGTGCAAGGTTTCAATATTGTGTTGTTTCGTGTTTATAAGTGTTTGTGTGATCACTCTTTTTTTTTCTTTTCCTCTCTCAAAGTGTTGGCAATCAGAGTGGAGTCAGTCAGAGTCAGAAAGATAATTCACCCAGATCAAACTGGTTTTATTGTTGGGAGACAGTTATCTTACAACCTTCATCGCTTATTTAAATATTATTTATTCACCAAAAAATAATACCAATCCAGAGGTCCTAATTTCCTTAGATGCCCATAAGGCATTTGATAGAATAGAGTAGATCTATTTTTTTACAGCGCTTAAAAAAAAAATGGTTTTGATCCTGGATTCTGTTCCTTGGTTAAAATGTTATATTCCAGGCCCCAAGCATCCATTCAAACAAATAATATAATTTCCAAAGGCTTTCCACTCTCTAGAAGAACGAGACATGGCTACCCTCTGTTTTTTGACATTGCCATTGAACCTCTTGCAACCGTATTAAGCAAGGAATTGCAAGGAATTTTCAGAGAGCGACACGAACATAAGTTCCTGCTATATGCGGATGATCTTCTTTTTCTGTCAAATCCAGATACATGTATTCCAAAAGCTCTTACAATAATTTCAGAATTTGGAAATGTTTCTGGAGACAAAGTCAATCTAGCAAAGAGTCTCCTTTTCCCTATTAATGATAGAGCACAGCAAATTTCCTTCCAATCCTTTCCATTTTCAGTAAGTCCTGATAAATATGTATAGTGAGTGTGACACGCAAATACAAGGATTTGTTCAATAATAATTTTAAAAGGACATTAGTGCCCAAGGACGTTTTTAGTACTCAAGGACACCTTACAAACAGTAGGAGAACAAGAAAAGCAACAACCTTAAGAAAGTAGAGAAAATGGGAGACTAATAATACATAAAATAATGACAAAAGACATGAGAACAAGCAACAAGAAAGAAACTCATTCCTGTCTTTCAATGAGTGCTTATGTGCATTTAGGAGAACTAGACAGCACACTCAGGGCTGCAAGATGGATTTAATTTAGTATTCTTATTATTAAAATATCTGAATGAGGAACAAATGACTGAGTTGGTCTTTGAAAATGAAAATTAACCTGTTTGTTCCTGCAGATCTTCCTGTTTGACTGTGAATGTTTCTTCAATCTTCACATCTTCACTCTCCTCTTTAATAAACGCCATCTTTATAACAGTGTGGAGATCAGTCGCTTTTTCTCTGTGTTTGGACACTTTATCCTGTTTAAAATAAACAAAACAATGAACATAAACAAAATAACTTCTCTTCAACACTTGCTTCAACAGTTTCTTTATATGAGAGTCATTAACAAACAGAAATCAGATAAGTTGGATCAAGAAACAATAGCCACAAATCAGCTGATTACAACTAGTACTCGATTTCTTATATATAGTGATGTATACTTCAAATAGAATGACATTATGCTATTTAATCAATTAAACTTTCATTAAAACACTTGTTACACACTTTTACTTTATTCAAGTATGTTCTTAATTGTTTTGTTTGTTTTATTCATCTTATTGTCTGTTTATAGCACTTTTTTGCACAAGATAAATTTCCTCTCGGGAACAAAAAGTTTATCCTATCTTTATTAAAAACAATAGACCTCATTATTGTGAGTTTTAGTAAATAATACTACGTTGTATAAGGGTTAAAATAATATTGTCAACAGGTACATAAGTTAGCACTGAATGAAAACACTGAAACTTTAATCAATCGCTTTATATAAGGGTAAACGCTTTAAAACAAACCTTTTTCCAGTTGAATCACAGCGCGGGAGCGGCGCAGGCCTATGACGTCACAAGTCATGCCAAAATAAAAGTCTTTTTTTGTACCTTTTTTGCCACTTACTCTTAGTCATGAGTCATGACTTATTATATATAGTTTTTCTCTGCGTTTGGGCATTTTATCCTGTTAAAAATCAACAAAGCAATAAAAATGTTCAGTTTAAAATAAATTAAACTATGAATAGAAACAAAATTACTTCTCTTCAACAGTTTCTTTATATGAGAGTAATTAACAAAAATAAATCCGGTAAGTCCGAGCAAGAAACAACAGCCACAAATGAGCTGATTAAAACTAGTACTCCATTTCTTAAATATGGTGATGTAAACTTAGAATGAAGTGAAATTTTGCTATTTAATAAATTAAACCTTCAGTAAGACACTTAATACCTGCATGTTGTTCAATAGTCCTCTTTACTTTGAGTAAAATAGTTTTAAGTTGTATAAAAGTTTAAAATAATATTTTCAACAGCAGGTACATCATTTAGTATTGGATGAAAAACCTGAAACTTTAATCAATCGCTTTATATCTGTGTAAAAGCTTTAAAACAAACCTTTCTCCAGTTGAATAACTTTTTTTCAATTAATGCTTGAACTGACAATACAAGAACATCATAACAAAGTCACACAGATCTTTAAAAAGTGCAATAATTTACATAGTCATAAGAAAAAATATCTAAAACCACATACAAATACAAATAATACCATTAGAAAGAAAGGGAAAAATATTAATACAATTAAAGTATTATTATTATTAATAATAATAATAATAAAATTACTAAATTAAACAAATAAATGAAATTAGAATGACACATTAACAAATAACTGTAAGGAAAGGAACTAAAATCGAAAATCTTCTTTAAATACATCTGCATAATATTTCAGGAATCTTAGATTTTTTTAATTCTTAATAAGATAAAGTGATTTTAGGAGGGAAATAAATTCTATTCTAAAAATGAACAAAGGATGGGTAATTATTTGTGAATTTTTGTTTGTGAATGTAAAATTTGCCATATAAGATAAAAAAAAATGTATGATGCGTTCCAGATATTTAGCTTTTGGGTTATTATAATAAAAATTGTCTTTTAGATTAAAGCAATTCACAGCATTGGCAGAAGCAGATATATGAGAATTTAGAAGTAACCAAAATTGCTTGGATATTGGACAATCAAAAAACATATGTAGTAGTGCAGGGGTGGCCAACCCTGTTCCTGGAGAGCCACCTTCCTGCATATATTGCCTTAACAACTTTATTAAATTCATTAGGAGAAGTTGGAAAAAAGTGCTTGTTTGATGATGCAGGAAACATTCTTTCGTGAACCATTTATAACCTACCAAAGGATCCAATTAATATTATTTTTAAACCAACTTTGGAAAAATAATTATTTGTTTTTGTTTGTAATATCTCGGTTATTCCATAAGAATAATCGGTAGGGAGAAAAATTGTGAACATAACCAAGCTTCCAAACAAGCAGACATTGCTGGTGGAATTTAGACAAAGCTAAAGATAGCTTGTAGGGAAGACATTTAAGAAGAAACAAAAGACTACAGATTTTGTCAAAAAAATTGTTGGGAATAAAAAAAACAAATAGAAATTGGATTGGTTAGGCATCTCTTAATCCAATTAATTTAAAAATGTTTATGGTGTCAGAAAAATCTAACAAATTTACACTCCCTCTGCTTTACTATTAGAATTAACTTCCTTTTTCAATTTATGAGGTTTGTTCTTCCAGATAAATTTTAGGAAAACAGTGTTAATTTATTTGCCCACTTTGTTTTCAACAAATAAAGATAAAGTCGGATATACAAAATGAGAAAGACCCTCTGCCTTGAACTCTTCCATATAATGACAGGTACCATTGTAGCCAGCAATTAAGAATATTTTTAATTTTGCTGATCCTAGACACAAAAATTCAAGTGCTGTCTCACTAAAAGATTTTTAATAACAAAAACACATAAATATTTAATTGTGGATTTATCAGGAATATCTTCTATATATTCATAATTCAAATTATGAACAGGCATTATCTCACATTTGGAGATATTCAGCTTTAGACCAGAAACACTTGAGATGTCAGAAATTAAATTTAAAGCCTTTGATACGTTTGAGTCATCTTTTAGAAATAAAGTGGTGTCATCTGCCAATTGTGAAATCTTAATCTTCCTCTCAAAAACAGAAATTTCTTACAAATCTTGATTTTGCACAATGCTTAAGGATAGAAACTCTGTAACTAATAAAAATAAAAAGGAAGAGATTGGACAGTCCTGCCTAATACCACACAAAATATCAAATCCATTAGAAGTGTCACGGGTAGAAGAAGGAGTGAACTCAAGTGCAGAATACAAAGTGTTTATTAAGGAGAAAGTCTTTGCAAAGGAACAAAAAACCCAATCGGGTGAGTGCCGGGGGAGTGCCGTGGAAAAACAGTCCAGAAACAAACGGGAGACTCGTTCACTGGCAGCCCTGGACACAAATATGGGGTGAGTAACAGACCGTTATACACACACACCAACGAAAACAGACTGACAAACATGAAGGGAAATGACGTGCTATAAATAGGAACAAAGGGATGAGAAACAGGTGGAGCGAATTACTCCGATGACTTGTGAATACTAGAAAAGCAGGTGACTGAAGGTAATCTGTAACATTGAACTGGAGAGAGTGAGAACACAAGGTACGGTGACAAGAAGTATTAAAATTAACAATCACTTAACTATTGATTCCTTTATAAAACAAAGCCATAGTGTTAACAAAAGTTTCCCCAAATCCAAATAACCTCAATGCTTTAAACAGAAACGTGCTCAACCGTATCAAAGGCTTTATAAAAATCAAGAAAAAGAATGAGACCATCTGAATGAATAGAATCAGCATAATCGAGCAAATCCAAAACTAATCTTATGTTATTAGAAACATGGCGGCCTTTTATAAACCCAGACTGAGTTTCAGAAATAATAGAATCAAGATTTGTTTTTAATCTGTTGGCAAAGTCTTTTTTTGTTTAGTTTTTTTGCTACTCACATTTGCAGTCATGACATGAGACATTTCTCCTTCGTTTTCCACTTCACACAACATCTGCTATCTCTCTCACATACAAAGACATTCAGTATTTGAAGTTGATCAAAACTTTTAATATGAACATTTGAACACAATTTTAAAATTTATATAATAAACTAAGACTAAGTGTTTAAAGCAGAAAATCCCAAAATTCTAAAATGTATAACAAATAATCTGATGAGTGTTTTGAGCTAAAACTTTACAGACACATTCTGGAAACACAAAAGACTCATCTTAAATCTTGAAAAGGGGTAAAATAGGTGCCCTTTAAGTAAAAAGTACCCATTACTACTACATGTTTTAGTTTCACTAACTGGGTCATTATCACTATAAAGTGCCTTTGATGTCCCACAAGATTGAAGCAGTCCTATATGAACATAATGCGAAATAACATTCTGATGTTTTTGATTAATTGATAGAGTTTACATACATATCAAAATCTCTGGATGCCAAATGTAGAAAGACGCTATAAATGCATGTATAGTAAGAAGGCTAGTTTCAAAGACTAACTAAAAATACAATTTTAAAGGATACAAAAGTTTGGATAAAAGCATTTTTAGGAGAACTGGTACAGTCAATGCAAAACACTTCATAAGTATACTTCATGGCAGTGGATTCAGACTGAATACAGAAAAGAGCAGTTGGGGAAATATTATTATTAGGCTGAGCAAGTTTGTGATTTAGTGGAGAACCGTTATTAGTAGAGACTTCACCAACTTTATTATAAGAGGAATGTATTTAAAACTTCTAGCATTCTGTCACTTAAATATATTCCAAAAACTCACGCATACAGGTAAAGAAATCCGAGATCTATTAGTAATTGAGGGAATGTCTTTGTTTGACATGTACTGAGAAGATTTGAGCAGTCGAATATAAAATAATGTAAAAAAAAAAAAACTTCTGGGCCAGGCTTGACTGAAGGTATTATACAATCAGGGATTGCACAGAAACAATGTTATATTCCTCTGAAGAGACTGAAGAAGACAAATGAATCTTCTGTCCAGAAATGTTTCCCTCTGTTGTCAAGAGACTGTTTAAGGAACAGGCAGCCAATCAGCTATCGCCGAGCGCCTACAGGCAGTCAATCAGCTTTCTCTAAGCCACATACAGGCAGCCAATCAGCTTTCGCTGATCAGCGTTCAGGCAAATATCCCGCTCATGGTGCTCTGTCCGGGGCGGAGAGAGGTTAAAGAATTTAAATATCTAGCAGGTACACATGGAAAAATCATATTGAGAAAGTGGAAAAGAAGTGAAGGAAAACTTTAAATGCAATGAGGGCATTAGCAGGCAAAGAATGGGGAGCAGAGAGATCATTATTGCTCACAGTGTATAAGGCTTTTAAGATTGGTACTTAATTTTGGGTGTATGATATATGCGGCAGCATCAAAGACCATTTTCAAAAGACTATATAGGATTCAATATAGAGCACTTCGAATGTGTATAGGAGCTGTAAAATCAACACCGATTAATGCTTTGATTGTGGAAACAAATGAATTACCATTATATCTGCGTAGGGAGAAATTGGCGCTGGCGTATTGGTCATCTATTAAAAGCTATACTGGAGAGAACATTGTAAAATAATCTTTAATAGATTGTTGGGAGTATACTAATAATAGAGGAAGAGGATTTGGATGGAATATACATAATATAGCAAAAAAAAATAAAAATAAAACACCAAGTATTAAATATAGTGGGTAATAAAAGCCCAGTATGGAGTGAAGTCCCCTTATGGATAATACCTGAAGTTGAAATCAATCTTGAGATCTTGGACAAAAGAAATGAATGGGAGGAATCAGGTACTATAAGCCAAATGTGTATAAGCTTATAGCTGGAAAATACACAAATGTATACTGATGGATCTAAAGACCCAGATAAGGGGTTACAAGAATAGGAGCCTGTGTTCCTGATTTGGAAGTATTTTCTAAAAAAATAACAACATCAGAACTGTCAATATATTCTGCTGAACAGGTTACTATCATTGTGGGACTTGTGTGGATAGATAAACTTATCCACTTGTGTGGATAGGTGGAAAATAACTAAGATAAGAAACTTTGGTTATTTATAGTGGTTTAGAAATCATCTGGTTGGTGTGTTAGCTAATGCAGGACCAGCTGTGGACAATCATAGCACATGATCCTCTCAAAAGTAGTTTATAAATAAACCATGTCAATGAACAGCCAAACTACATGAACAAGCTGCCGTTTAGAATATACCCGTGTTTGTGTGGGCAAGGCCTCAATGTTGAGGACTCTGCTCTCCATTGTGAAGCTTCATGTGAGTGTTGAGGCTTCTTTTACAATTAAAGCCCTTTCCACACTCACTGCATCTTAAACGCTCTACCAAATGAGTCTTCATGTGGTTCTTAATGGAGTCTTTGTGTGTGAGACTCTTTCCACACTGATCACATGTGAACACTATAGTTCCAGTGTGACCATTCATGTGATTCATGAGGCTAGCTTTGGCTCTGAAGCTCTTTCCACACTGAGCACATGCAAACGGCTTCTCTCCAGTGTGAGTTCTCATGTGGTTATTGAATGTGCTTTTATATGGGAAACATTTACCACAATCAGTGCATCTGTAAGGTTTCTCTCCAGTGTGAGTTCTCTTATGGTTATCGAGTGTGTTTTTATGCGTAAAGCTTTTACCACATTCTGTGCATGTGTAAGGTTTCTCTCCATTGTGACTTCTCCTGTGGTTATTGAATGTGCTTTTATGTGTGAAACTTTTACCACACTCTGTGCATCTGTAAGGTTTCTCTCCAGTGTGAATTCTCCTGTGGCTATTGAATGTGGTTTTATATGGGAAACATTTACCACAATCAGTGCATCTGTAAGGTTTCTCTCCAGTGTGAGTTCTCTTATGGTTATCGAGTGTGTTTTTATGCGTAAAGCTTTTACCACATTCTGTGCATGTGTAAGGTTTCTCTCCAGTGTGAATTCTCCTGTGGTTATTGAATGTGCTTTTATGTGGGAAACTTTGACCACATTCTGTGCATGTGTAAGGTTTCTCTCCAGCGTGAATCCTCATGTGGATGTTAAGGTTGTGTTTTTTAGCAAAACCTTTCCCACACTGTGTGCAAGTAAAAATTCTTCCTTCATTGTGAGTTCTCATGTGAACTTCAAGGTTGCTATTTTGCGTAAAACTCTTTCCACACTGTTGGCATTTGTACGGCCTCACTCCAATGTGAATTCTCATGTGGGCTTTAAAGCCATGAATTTTAGGAAAACTCTTTCCACACTGTTTGCAGGTGTAAAGTTTCTCCCTATTGTGAACATCAAGCTTTGGCTTTTGACTGAAACTCTTTCTACACTGGTTACTGCTGAAATTACACATAGATTTGGATTTCCGAGGTCTTCCGTGTGATGAAGTCTTTTTAGTCAGTGTGGGTTTTTCATCAGTCGTTATGTCTTGATGTTTCTCTTCCATTTCATTCCATTGATGAGTCTCTTCTTTCAGCACCATCAGGTCTTAAAAAACAAAAACAAATGAACTTTTAGAATGAAGCCACAAAGCGACAAGCATGAAGTGGATGTTTCACCCACAAATAAAAATGACCTTACCATTTACTCTGTGTCATGTGGTTTTAAACATTTCCTTTCTTCTGGAACACAAAGAAAGCCAGAGTTTTTTCCATAAGATCTTCTTTTGTGTTTAACAGGACCAAGAAACTCGTAAAGATTTAAAACCACACGAGGGACAATAAATAGTAAGGCTATTTTAATTTCTGCATCAACAATCCCTTTAAAGGATTCCTATTATAAAACCTTTTTTACAAGATGTAAAATAAGTCTTCCCAGAATGTGTCTGAGGTTTCAGCTCAAAATCAGATCATATACCTTACAGAAGATTTAATTTTGGGGGTCAGAGGAAAACCAAGCTGTATTTGTGCCTGTGGCTTTAAATGTAAATGATCAAATGCACTCGCTCTGGATTACTCATGCTGTGGGTTGTGCATTTTCCACTGGATTTAAACATTTGTAACTTGCTTGGAAGACCCGATTGAGACAATTCCTGCATGTTCATGGCAAGTACGCATAAATTACGCTTATTTTTGTGAGTTTGCATTCTTGTATATAACTTATATAACAAATATTTCCCAGTACTGGGTTGCCGCTGGAGGGGCATCCACTGTTTAAAATAAATGCTGGATAAGTTGGTTGGTCATTCCGCTGTGGTGACCCCTAACGAATAAAGGGACTAAGCCGAAGGAAAATTAATAAATGGACATATGCAAATGATTAATGTCAGGTTTGCTGTAAACTGGAGTGATGAGGAGATGGCAAGATGACATACTTTGCAACTTGTTTTCATTCATTTCAAGTGTTTACACTTAATGATCCTCGAGCCTGAGGCTCTCTCCCATTTGCAAGGCGAAAGGGAAGTTTGAGCTCGGGTAGATCTTGAGAACTCGTCTGCTGTAGTAGCTAATAAACAGAAAGTGATTGCTCTTAGTAAGATAATTACTTACTAAGAGCATGTCTATGGTGCCGATTTGGATTAGTCAATTAACTTAAGTTGCATGTTTTTTGACAGTGAAAGGAAACCGGGGAACCTGGAAGAAACCCACGTGAGCACCAGGAGAATGTGTAAACTCTGCACAGAAACGTCAGCTGGCTTGGTAACGACTAGTAACCTTCTTGCTATGAGGCAACAGTGCTAACCTCTGGGCTTTTGTGCCACCGACCTAGAAAAGGAGAAGGAGTAGGGGTGGAAGGGGGGATTTTTCTAAACGAAGATGGCTGTGATATGGAATTTAGGGTATTTATGTGGTTTAGGAATCGTCTGATTGATGAATCCTAAATTAAATAATGCGAGATCAACCGCAAGCAATCATAAGCACGTGAAATAAGTTTATAAACAAACTTCACTTGTACTTGTCTTTGTTTTCTTGGCTTTGTGCAAGTTCCTGATGCTTAGTTGAAGACCTACGTTATTACATTTTATATACCCGACAAGATGCAGAAATGACATCTAAAAAGGTGACCTTATGTTTGTCCAATCAGGGACAGTGACAACGGAAATATACAAATAATAATTTTAACCCGGGGATTTGCGAATATGAAACGTCTGGTAATTAACACCCAGGTATAGCATGAGCAGTGTGGATGGTGACTACAGACAACCCAGGATTGTTTAACTAGGGTTAGAATGACCCAGGGTTAACAATTTCAAGTAAGAAAATGCCTAAGAATACTCAGCATCAGCTCTCAGGATAACAGGAGTACATGGACATGTACAGTGACATACAAAAATTGTCATTCGTAGCGGTGACCTGGGGTCTGTTCTTCGTACCGCACTTAAATAATCTTAGATAATTTGGCAGATCCTGGATCTTTTAATCTTGATAACTGATCTCTGGCTAATTTGGTTCTGTAAACAAGTTTGTGAATCAGGTTAAAATGTCTGTATGAACTGATCTGAGATGGCTGCATGTGTTGAGAAGGACAGATCTATCGATCCTCGAAATCATGATCAACAAAGTAACGATTGGCTGATGGCACAGCAGCGTAATGACATCATCTGATTAATATTCAATTATCCAAGTGAGCAAAATTACATAAAATTAGCAGTAAATGGTTTGTTAAACATGACATGCAATAACTTTACACATTTGTTATAAGCTGCAGGCTTTTATGAGTCAAGAGTATTCATCATGTATTTCAATGCATATCAATGTATTTAGGTCTACATTTAGAGAAAACTTTATTAATTATAGTAGCCTATGCCTACTTATTTTTTTTAATCAGCGTAAAGAATAACTGTATAAATTAATTTTGCATGAAAAAAGCATTTTCATATCGGTAATGGTGTCAATCACCGGCATATTAGTGGTCAAAACACGTGCATGACTGCATAAATTATTACCCCTTTTTAAAAAAAAAGTCAAATATTGTGCATGTACACGTTTGTATCTACAAAGATTATATTTTAAAAAAATCTATTTGAACCCTTAGGTGGCAGTCTTTCTACTTTAATTTTGGAGAGCAGATTGCATAAGTTTTATTAGTATATATTTTTTTCTAATCCCAGGTAGGTTTGAGCTACCAGAACTGTTGCCATGACAAGTCTCAGATGAGTTTTAAAGATTGAAACAATCATTGATAACCAAAACCAAAGCCAAAAATAACCAAATCCAGCTAATTGAGTAATCCACGTATGAAGAACGGACCCCAGATCTCATGCTATCATTTTGGAACTTTCAATTCAGTTGCCTTTTGGAGAATTGACCATGAATAATAAATAGCAGAAAACGGCCACACTACTCTACAAACTAGTGTGTTCATGACTATAAAAAAAAAGTCTCATGTGCACGGGACTTTACACTATTTTTAGGATCTAAAAATTCATTCTTTAAAAAAAAGTCTCTAGCAAAAAGATTCCAATGGCAGCGCCTGCTGGTACGTGAAGAATGATCAATACTGACAAACTTCACACTCAAATTTTTGCATATCATCAGCATGCTGTACTCCATTTCTTAATCAGCAAAATACATTTTTAAACTAGTTTGTTGGCCAGTTGTAGTCAGTGCAATGCTAAACGGTATTGTTCCACTATAATTTGTTTGTTTTGCCTCACTTCGTCCCACAGCAACATCATTGAGTTTAGAAAACTGTACAATGTTTTATAATAATTCATTTTTTTGTGTCCATTGTATCCAGCATATTTAAAGTTAGGGCATCCACAATTTCTGACATACTTTGAACCAGGGTTAAATTTTTGACTTATGAAGGGCTAAAAGGCTAAGGAATTTTTCAAATACCCCAGATGGAAAAGAGTTTTATTTGCCCTGTATATAATTATATTATTTAATAGTTATTATATTATTTAATAATATATTATATAATTATATTATTTAATATTATTAAAAATAAATAAATACATTTAATAATAAAATAATAAATTAATATAAAAAATACAGTATTTTATATATTTCTTAGTAAAAGTTTTTAATAAAAGTTTTATTCAAAAGAAAAAGTTTTATTCAAATGAATTGTTGGTGATTGTATGAGTTTTAACCAGATTGGGTAGCAGAACATGCACAAAGGAAAATTAAGGCTTCTGTAAAAAGATTTTAAGACCTACAACACAATATTTCAGTAAATTTAAGATTTTTTTGGCCTAAAATATAGATTTGGGAAAAATAAGGGAATTGTGATCAATGTGACATATGCAAATTAAAAGTACTAAGCCAACACCATCACCGTAATAGCAGATATCTTCTATGAGAATACTGTAGGTCAAATATCGTCATCTCAGTTAAACTTTTTTCATTTATTGTTTTTATTTATTTTATATAGCGCCAGTTCTCAAGGACACTTCACAAACAGTAGAAGAACAAGAAAAGCAATAACCTTAAAAAGGTAGAGAAAATGGGAGACTAATAATACATAAAATAATGAAAAAAGACATGAGAACAAGTGACGAAAGAAACTCATTCCTGTCTTTCAATGAGTGCTTATGTGCATTTAGGAGAACTAGGCAGCACACTCAGGGCTGCAAGATGGATTTAATTTAATATTCTTATTATTAAAATATATCTGAATAAGGATCAAATGACTGAGTTGGTCTTTGAGAATGAAAACCAACCTGTTTGTTCCTGCAGATCTTCCTGTTTGACTGTGAATGTTTCTTCAATCCTCACATCTTCACTCTCCTCTTTAATAAACGCCATCTTTATAACAGTGTGGAGATCAGTCGCTTCAGCAGGAGTTTTTCTCTGTGTTTGGACACTTTATCCTGTTTAAAATGAACAAAACAATAAAAATGTCCCGTTTAAAATAAATAAAACAATAAACAGAAACAAAATAACTTCTCTTCAACACTTGCTTCAACAGTTTCTTTATATGAGAGTCATTAACAAACAGAAATCAGATAAGTCTGAGCAAGAAACAATAGACACAAATGAGCCGATTAAGACTAGTACTCCATTTCTTATATATAGTGATGTATACTTTGAATAGAATGACATTATGCTATTTAATAAATTTTACTAAAACACTTATTACACACTTTACTGTTGCTGTATTCAAACTTTAACAAATGTTGTTAATTATTTTCTTTGTTTTATTTATTTAATTGTCTGCTTACAGCAACGCTGTAGCACTTATTTGCACAAGACAAGAATTTCCTCTTGGAAACAAATAAAGTTTATCCTATCTTATTCAAACAATAGACCTTACTGTGAGTAAAATAATACTTCTTCGTATTAACGGTTAAAATAATATTGTCAACAGCAGGTACATCTAGTATTAAACGAACACACTGAACTTTTAATCAGTTGGTTTATATCTGTGTACAAGCTTTAAAACAAACCTTTCTCCAGTAGAATCACAGTGTGGGAGCGGCGCTGCCTTATGACGTCACACCACCATGCCACAATAAAAGTCTCCCACCCCCCCCCCCCCCCCCATTTATTCGTTTTCGTGACTTATTGATACATATCTCCCTCGTTTTCCACTTTATACTTTATCTGCTTTCTGTTTTGTACTTGTAAGACCATTATTTATGTTCATTGAATAAACCCATTTACCCCCACTAGATCTTTGCCTTCAGATAGGTTGGTAAAAGGTTGCATTTTCTTTAAATGATTGCATTTCTTCATCCATAGCTTTAACCCACATTCACTTGCATTCACTGATGTTACCACCTCTTTGTATGTTTGAATGGGGAAACATCAAATTCTCCAAAATTACCTGCCAGGTTCCAACCTATATATGTAATAGGTTGAAACTTATTTGGGCTACAGTCCATTTGTCAGGATAAAAACAATATTTATAACCAAATAAACAAACAAACAAACAAAAAAACTAAACAGTTGTAAAGAAACTTTTTAAAATGACTGAAGAACTTAATACAACATTAATGTTCCTGCATCCACACCTATTTACATTTTATAATGTTAGCATTCAGATATTAGTGTAAATTCAGAATGTGCAACTTACCTTTTCAGTCTTCAATGAAGAAGTTGGATGAGAAATTGCCTCAGTGGGTTTTTCTTTGTAGGTTGTTGTTGGTAATAATCCCAATGTAGGAATCTAAAATTGTAGTTTGTCCTCCAAAGTTGTTTTCTTATAGAAAAATAAGCCAATGAAGATTCTTTTAGGAACCCAGAATATATAGATACAACCCTGCTGAGCTACTGGATCTGGAATGTGATTGGATAAGACTCAATTGGCCCCCATTAATGCTAGTATAAAGATGCAAATGAGCAGTGGAGAGCAGTGAAGACTCAAGACACATTACTGTAGAGGATGGGAAGTTCAGCAGCTTTACAAACCAGTTTTACAGAGAAATAATGTTGTATTGGGAAAATAAGTTGACTTTAGCCATCTTCATTTGTTTTGTTGCTGTTGTTTTATAGGACTTTTGATGAAAGCTTTTTTTTATTTTGGCTGCTGCATTTTGTAGTTAATGTCGATACACTTATGATATGTAACACATTTCAATTTATTTTTTCCCAAGCCTGGTTAAAAGGTAATGCAAGAGTTGTGTGTTGTTTTTGCAGAAGCTTCTCAGAGTCTCTTGGCTGAATATTTGTTTAAAGATGCAAATGAGCATTGAAGACTCAGTCCATACCGATTTATCAATACACACAACTATATTCACTTATATAATAGTTATAGAAGATTTATACTATTAAACTGTGATATATTATCCTTCGTTGAAAGAAACAATTTCTAAACTTCACAGTGAAGTTTTATTCATGTTAAGTTTAGTCAATATATTGACATGAGCTAACTATTAGCAGTGTTTTAGTTATTTATTTATCACTGAACTTGTTCTTTATGTGAGTTTAGAGTCCTTTATTTCTCTTAAAGCACATGCAGCTCATTACTGACTTTTGTAATAGTCAACACACTCTTAACAGATCAATTATTTCCTTTCAAAAATGTCTCTAGATTTTAACTATTAAAATGTAACTTGTTTCTGTGCCAATTTTTTTCTTTTTTTGCCTCTTATTCACCTGGTATGTATTAAAGATGTTTTTCCCTTTATTTATTACTTGTGTTTGTGCACACAAATATGCATAGACATTCACAAAAGCATATATAAGATACCATGTGACAAAACTTTTTCCTTTTAACACAGTAAAGCTATCAGATACTGTGATGCATCTAAATATTTATAATCAGAAAATAATTACATCTCAAGTTAAATTATTGTATAGGCAGTTTATACAGAATAATTCAATGACAAGAGTTCACTTTCATATCTACACAATGTAGAACTTTTAATGTGATTAACTTGCTCCACCTACACCAATTACAACACTTCTCAGACTTCTTTTTTCACTATGGTGTAATTACAGTGGTGAACATGACATACAACAACAACTGCACTTACTCCTGTAACCTGTTTGCAACAATGAATTTTAAATATCTGTGTCACATATTCATTTAAATAAATGGCTCATCATTGTGTGCATTCATCTTTAGTAATAGCTGCCTGACCATTAACTGAATAGGACCATTTTACATATAAGAAACCCGTTAACATGTATAGCTGTTCATGCCAATACCAACTTGATAGACTATTACATGAACATATTACATGAACAGGACCTGCCTAACATCTCTTAAGACATATAAGCATAGTGTCTATATCAATACATGCTTGATTCTCCAGATCGCTACATCTGAATGGTGCCTTTTGACCTGTTTTAAAAATTACAACCATTTGTAAGCATAGTTCTTCACTAATACCAGTTTACCTCAAATAATTACACATGTAAGTGCAGTGGGTAGCTCGATTGCCTCACAGCAAGAAGGTCGCATGTTCAAGCCTCAGCTGGGTCAGTTGGCATTTCTGTGTGGAGTTTGCATGTTCTTCCCGTGTTTGTGTGAGTTTCCTTCGGATACTCTGGTTTCCCCGAAGTCCATAGACATGCGGTATGCATGCAGTGTGAATGAGTGTGTATGCATGTTTCCCAGTAATGGGTAGCAGCTTGAAGAGCATTCGCTGTGTCAAGCATGTGCTGCATAAGTTGGCGGTCCATTCCACTATGGTGACTCCTGATTGATAAAAATAATAAAAATAAATGAATACATGAGTAATATCACACGAGTAGCAGTGCGATGTTGCCTTCTATCTGTTTTTGTATTTCTATTTGTTGTAATGGCCAGTTGTTATTGCAATAAAAAATGAATAAATACATTTTTAAAAAGCAGTGCAATGTGGCTGTAGGCTGTATATCAGCACTGATGGGAGGCGTGTGTTACAGTGTACACTAAGCACTCAAGAACGATTGTCCCTCTACCTGTTGTTTAATCCCCTGAGAACTATGCTCATCTTCAGAACTCAAATGAAGACACTTTAGATGAAGTCAGAGAGCTCCTTCATCTGTCATAGACAGCAAAAGTCCCGAGATGCTCAAAGTCCAGAAAAGGAACCAAAAACATTTTTAAAACATGTGACATATGACTTTAGTGGTTCAATTGTAATCGAGTTCCAAGAACATTTTGTGTGCAAGAAAATGTTGAAAAAAGCAGCCAGGTCCAAAATGAGAACAGATGAACCATGTCTGTTTTTGCCTCCGTATTCTCTTCATTTTCATTCAGCAGACGAAACTCAAACAGGTTTGGCTCAAGTAGAGGATGAGTAAATGACAAAATTGTAATTTTTATGTGAACTGCCCCTTTAATGCTTCTGTAAGTAAAGGTAAATTAAATATTATTACTGCATATATTGCTAAAGAATGGCAGGAAACGTGGAACACAGATAACAAGAGACGACAATTCATGTGGAAAAAAGGAAATTCTATATAGGCCTATGAAGTTGTAGAAATAGAAAAGAAGAGGTTATAATTATAAGGATGAGATTTGGACTCAGATATTATTTATTCATTTTTTTGACAGCTTAGTTCCTTTATTAATCTGGGGTCGCCACAGCGGAATGAACCGCCAACTTATCCAGCAAGTTTTTACACAGCGGATGCCCTTCCAGCCGTAACCCATCTCTGGGAAAACTCAGATATTAATAGGAAGTAATGTGTTGCAGACATACAAGTCATCATAAGTGGATTAAAAAAGTTAAGAAAATGTTTAGATTTAAGGTTTGTGTGAGAGAAAGCAGATATAGTGTAAAGTGAAAAACATGGGAGACATGTATCAATAAGTCATGACTGCAAAAGTAAGTGGCAAGAAAGCTAAACAAGAAAAGACTTTTATTTTGGTGTGTGACGTCATCAGGCGGCGCCGCTTCAGCGCTGTGATTCAACTGGAGAAAGGTTTGTTGTAAAATGTTTACACAGATATAAACCCATTTAAAGTTAAAGTTCGAAGGTTTTAGTTTTTTATACGATGCTAAATTATGTTCCTACTGTTGGAAATATTTTAATCCTTTATTCAACGTAGTACTATTTTATTCTATAGAGGTAAAGTTGGTTTTATATTCGCACATTCAGACTTTCTCCTTAATAATATAATTTCATAAAAGTATTATTTGCAAACTCTAAACAGTGAAATCATATTAGCAGCCAATGACTATCAAAAGTACAACATTGTTCAGAGTCAAATAAACAATGTTAATGCTGTTATCAAGTCATGCTTGCATACTAATTCCGATCGAATATTCAAAGTAACATGGTAAACAATATATAGACTGCTAAATGAACGAATGTGCGAATATAAAACCAACTTTACCTCTATTTTTATTCTTAGTAACCGAGGGCTATTGTTTGAATAAAGTAACAGAAAAGTGTGTAATAAGTGTTTTAAAGAAACGTTTTGTTTATTACTCTCATATAAAGAAATTGTTGAAGCAAGTGTTGAAGAGAAGTTATTTTGTTTCTGTTCATTGTTTTATCTATTTTAAACAATAGAGGTAAAGTTGGTTTTATATTCACACATTCGTTCATTTAGCAGTGTATATATTGTTTAACATGTTACTTTGAATATTCGAGTGGAATTAGCATGCAAGTATGACTTGAAAACAACATTAGCACTGTTTATTTGACTGTGAACAATGTTGTACTTTGATAGTCATTAGCTGCTTATATGATTTCACTATTTAGATTTTGCAAATAATACTTTTATGAAATTATATTATTAAGGGGAAAGTCTGAATGTGTAATTATAAAACCAACTTTACCTCTATTTTTAAACAGGACATTTTTATTGTTTTATTCGTTTTAAACAGAATAAAGTGTCCAAACACAGAGGAAAACTCCTGCTGAAGTGACTGATCTCCACACTGGTATAAAGATGGCGTTTATTAAAGAGGAGAGTGAAGATGTGAAGATCGAAGAGACATTCTCTGTCAAACATGAAGATCTGCAGGAACAAACAGGTTAGTTTTCATTCTCAAAGTCCAACTCAGTCATATAGAGGTAAAGTTGGTTTTACACATTCGTTCATTTAGAAGTCTCTATATTATTTACCATGTTACTTTGAATATTTGATCGGAAATAGCATGCAAGTATGACTTGAAATCACAGCATTTGACTGTGAACAATGTTGTACTTAGATAGCCATTGACGGCTAATTTGATTTCGCTATTTATAGTTTGCAAAAATAATTTTATGAAATTAGATTATTAAGGGGAAAGTTTGAATGTGCGAATATAAAACCTACTTTACCTCTATAATTGAATCCATCTTGCAGCCTCGAGTTTTCTGCCTGGTGGTCCTAAATGCACATTTAACTGAGATGAGGGCGAGGCAGTGGCGCAGTAGGTAGTGCTGTCGCCTCACAGCAAGAAGGTCGCTGGTTCAAACCTCAGCTCAGCTGGCGTTTCTGTGTGGAGTTTGCATGTTCTCCCTGCCTTCGTGTGGGTTTCCTCCGGGTGCTCCGGTTTCCCCACAGTTCAAAGACATGCGGTACAGGTGAATTGGGTAGGCTAAGGGCCTACTCACATTATGCTATCTGTACCGGGTGCTCCGGTTTCCCCTGCAGTCCAAATACATGTGGTAAAGGTGTATTGGGTAGGCTAAATTGTCCGTAGTGTATGTGTGTGTGGATGTTTCCTAGAGATAGGTTGCGGCTGGAAGGGCATCTGGAATAATAAAGGGACTGAGCTGACAAGAAAATGAATGAATGAATGAATGAATGAATGAATAACTGAGCTGTCGATATTTGACCTACAGTATTCTCATAGAAGATATCTGCTATTACAGTGATAGTGTTGGTTTAGTACTTTCCATTTGCATGTCACATTGATCACAATTCCCTTTTTTCATCAACTTCTTTATGGGTTTAAACTGTTAGAACTACATCATTATTACAATACCTAATTACCAGGGCTATTGTGTTTAAACAGGATTTCTGTGGGGTCTTAAAATGTCTTAAATTCCAAAATAAAAAATTTAGGCCTTAAAAAGTCTTACATTTACTAAAGTATTGTGTTGTAGGTCTTTATTTTTATTTATTTTAACAAGTCTACATTTTCCTCTATTCATGTTTTGCTACTCAGCCTGTCCAAAACATATACAATCACCAACAATCCATCTCAATAAAACTTTTTAGTCAAAAAAGTCATTTTAACTCTATTTATCATAATAGTTTAATTAATTAAATATCACAATAACTTTTTGTTTAAACAAGCTCCATGTATTTACTGCTGAGGATATCGACTTGCATAGATTTATTTTATTATAGTTTTTAAAACTTTTCAAAATATTTGTTAATTTTTTTACAATTTTTTTAAAGGTTATTTTAAAAACAATTACAAAACAATACAACTAGAGCTTTTGTTAAGAAATATCTAAAATATTGTATTTTATTTTTCATTATTCATTTATTATTGCATTATTAAATAAAAATATATTTTTTTATAGGGCAAATTAAAATCTTTTCCATTTGGGCCATTTGAAAAATTTCTTTATGTCAGAAAGCTTGGATGCCCCCAATATTAAATATGCTGAATGAAATGGACACTAAAATAATTAACTGTTATAAAACATTGTACAGTATTCTAAACTATATGATGTTGTTGAGGGACGACATGAAGCAAAACTAACAATTTATAGTTGAACAATAACGTTTAGCATTGCACTGACTACAACTGGCCAACAAACTAGTCTAAAATGACTTTTGCTGTTTAAGAAATGGATTACAGCATGCTGATGATATGCAGAGATTTGGTTTAAAAAAAAGTTTTAAAAACAATATTTTTGCTGTACCATCCCTACGTTTTTTACATTTTGTTTGAAGATTTTCAGGACAACAGTGTCTCCAGGAGAAAATATATCCAAAGATGTTGTTTTAAATAGTAAAAAAAAAATCATTTGAATTATTTAGCCTGACATGTTTACAGCTCCAAAATACTTTCAAAGTTTCTCAAGTGAAAATATGTTGTGTTCAAAGGGGAAAAAAAAGTTTAGGTTTTTTAACCAGACATTTAAAAAGAATATATTTATAAATGGTAATCACAGTACTGAGAAATCATGATATTTTTAGTCAAGGTTATCATACCGTCAGAATCTTATACTGGTCTGTGAGCCAGCACATATAGTAAGGGGCATACAAAAAGTAGATTTCCAAAATAATTATTTTTAATAAAGTCAAAAAATTTCTCAAAAACTCAAAAAATAAATAAATGAAACAATTAAATCAATTGAAAAATCAATAAACTAAACAAAGAAAACAAAACTGAGTTCAAACCAAACTAATCATGAATAAATCAAAAACAGAACTCCTTGAAATGACAAGACTGACCACATTTATACCAGAGGGACTAGTCCACAGTAAACAAGAAGGGGGAGACAAAAACAGACAATTTACAACAACAATAAACTAAGTCAAATATCTAAATACAAATCTAAATATTAGTTAAATAAATTCTAAATGAAAAACTAAATATAAATCTGAACAAACACTGCAAATCATTAATGAACTTAAACTAAAGATCAGCTCTCCCTCCAAGCCCTTAAGCCAATGGTATCGGCTAGCGGAACCAATAGGTGCCACTTGGCGGCACGTCGGCCCTTTAGTTTGTCGGACCACACCCAGAAACTCCGTTCCTCATCGGCACTGCAGCATGGTAACTTAAACTCAAAACAAAACTAAATAAAAAAAACATACACCACACTGGCCATCACATGGTCCATGTTTAATGCTGCTTGATGTTGCAAAGTCATTCATTCATTTTCTTTTCGGCTAAGTCCCTTTATTAATCCGGAGTCGCCACAGCGGAATGAACCGCCAACTTATCCAGCAAGTTTTTACGTAGCGGATGCCCTTCCAGCCGCAACCCATCCCTGGCAAACATCCACACACTCAATCACACACACACTCATATACTACGGACAATTTAGCCTACCCAATTCACCTGTACCGCATGTCTTTGGACTGTGGGGGAAACCGGAGCACCCGGAGGAAACCCTTGCCAATGCAGGGAGAACATGCAAACTCCACACAGAAACGCTAACTGAGCCGAGGCTCGAACCAGCGACCTTCTTGCGGTGAGGCGACAGCACTACCTACTGTGCCTCTGCTTCGCCCCTGTTGCAAAGTCATATTTTCTAATTTAATCATTTTTCTTTGTATGTATAGACATGAACACATTTGTTTGTGGAGAAAGTAGCCGTTTATTAGTCCTAGTCATTTTTCCAATAGGCAACTGAAGCTTTAAAACAATAGCATATAAGATCAAGGCCCCATTTCAGAAAGGAGGTTGAGTGAAAACTCAGAGCATTTTAACCCTGAAATGAGAGAAACTCTGGTATTTGCGTTTCAAAATGGCAAGTTTGTGAAATTCGAGAAAGCAGGGTAAGTCAAGCCTGTTTCTGAAAGAAAGGTAACTTGGTAACATACTCTGTGAACCTAACCTGGTCAGCAGGTTTTATTCTCTTAACTCTGTTTTGAGTTTCTGTCGGTCTCCTTTTCTTTTTTTTTTTAAATGAAGCAGTATTTCTCACTTAGCCTTATATATTCAGCCACCTATTTTTATGTGCATATTGGATAGGCTAAAAAACAGTTGATGGAAACATCATGATGCACATAACTTTTGAAATATAGGCATAAAAAAACATGCGCTAAATCTTCACCACATGTTCATTGTGTGCTGACATTGTCCTCTGAGGTGAAAGTCATTTATTAAACACAGAAAAGATTCATGTAGCTTCTCCTACCGCAGTAAATTCTGTTTTTACTGTTGAGATTTGGCGCCAGTTAATCAGGAAGTGACGATTTTGTTCTTTTTAAGTCATTAAATGGAAACGCTGATTCATTCATTCATTTTTTTTGGCTTAGTCCCTTTATTAATTGGGGGTCGTCACAGCAGAATGGACTGTGTACGTTTTGTTCATTTGTTTTCCATTTTTAAACGGAATAAAGGAAAGGAAAAAAATGGCCGTTTTTCCATTTTTCTTTTGCTCACAAGAAAACGAAAAAACGACATTTTGGCTGGATTTTCGTTTTTTGGTTTAAAGTAGGAAAACGGATAAACGACTTTAATATTCATTTTACACATGTAGGTGGTGCTGAAATGCCCACTTTCCTCTAATTAGTCAACTATTATTATTATTATTATTATTATTATTATTATTATTATTATAACCTTTATTTTACCAGGAAAGACACATTGAGATTAAAAATCTCTTTTACAAGAGCGTCCTGGCCAAGATTAGGCAGTACACAAGTCACATGAGTCCAACAGACAACAAACAAAAAACAATTTACAGTTAACATGAATCACACTGACATCTATTCAAAACATCTACAAACCTGTTTCAACTTCTAAAACTTTTTAAAAGCTTGTAGTGAAATCAAGTCTTTGAACTGCAACTGTGTTTGCAGATTAATCCAAGCAAAAGGTGCTGCGTACTTAAAAGCCTTTTTTCCCATCTCAGTCCGCACTTTAGGGACAAAGAGTAAATAAATATCCTGTGAGCGAAGACCATAGTTAAGAACAGGCTTTTTACAAATATAATTCTGGAGATATGATGGGAGTAAACCCAGTATAGATTTAAACTAAATCTGAGCTTGTGACGTCGTCCTCAAAATAAAAGCCTTACACGCAGGCTTTTAATTATTATTATTTAATTATATATAAACAAAGTTTACATATTCTATCATTTGAACCACACACAGTTAGCAGGCTTACATTCATTGCACATGTATAAATTAAATAAAAATGTAAATTAGCAGTATTCTTAGACATTTTGTCATTAAAATAAGGTCATAGTTCACAGCCAAGTTTCTTGCTGCTGTGCACCTGATGCTGAGCAAAGATGGCCATTTCCGAGCAGCACCTGGTTTGTATGATTGTTTCAGAGCAAGGGCTTTATAATAATAATAATAATAATAACAATAATAATAATAATAATTATTATTATTATTATTATTATC